CAAAACTGCATAAAACCCTGAGCTATGCTTGTCTGGATATAGATACTGAGATGGGTCGCTCCTAGACTGGAACAGTTCCTCTGGATTACTTAAGCTGTAAAACTAGATGAAAACTGAATCGCTGCATTTGCATTAGATGGGCTAGGAAAGGGGCTGGACATACTGCATTAATTGATTGAAATTGCTATGTTGGTTGCTATAAACCATAAGTGTTGTGCAAATGATTTTGCTATATTCACACTCTATAATTATGATCTTTATTTAAATAAGCTCACCCTTGTGTTTGTTTGTGTTTTTGTGTGTTTATGCTGCAATGATCGTACGATGATACGTAAGCAGGAATAATAGATGGAGTGTTTAAATTACCTGCTGAGGAGTCTAATTAAAGAGTGATCCGGGTTAAAGATTTTAGAATATGTATTTTAGCTTTAGTAATTTAGGTTTTTGACTGAAGCTAAAGTTTTGATATAACTATTATACAGAGTTTGTGTACTCTGAGCTTTAGTTGTAGCCACTATTGTAATCATATACATACTTTTATGCTATATGTCTTATATGTAAGATTTTTATTTTTTTTGAGATTTTATTTATGTATGGATTATTAAGGTGTCGATGAGGGTGTTAAAGTTAAAGATTTATAAAAAAAAAAGTATATTATTTATAATATATCTATATTGACTCATATTTTGAAATTGAATTGGAAATAGTAATTTAAAATGTCATTAATCCTTATAAAAAAGGGTTATGACATATATTCTCATAACTATTCAATTTTTGTTATTATCATATCAAACTCATCACATACTTAATGCACATTCCAATATCCATTTACACACACATGTGTATATATATATATATAATAATCAATCAGGGCGTTACAAATTCAATTTAATTTTAAAAAAATATTAAATATTTTCATTTTTAATCTACATATTACAGGTGAATCAATTGGACTGATAGGTTAATTTATAATGAACTACTGAACCAAGTAATAAAAGATGGGTAAGTGGAACTGCAGCCAAACTAAAGAACTCTCGTTTGTATTACAAGAGTTGTTAGAATGTAGTGTTCGTCCTTTGTATAATTCATTTTAAAAAAAGTTAATTTTGTTATTTCATCATCTAAATTTATCTTTTTTATTTAGTTTTAATTATTTTTAAATTATCCTTTTAAAATTTTAAGAGTTGTTTGGTAAGAAAATTTTTGAAAAAATGAAAAGAAAAATATAAATTTTATATTTTAAATAAATATATTTAAAATTAATATTTTTAACATAATAAAAAATAAAAATTAATATATTAACATAAATTTAATTTATTAATTATTATAAATATTATATATTTTTTAATTTAAAATTTTAAAATGTTTCTTTTTTTTTCTTTTTCTCTAACATCCCTCTCCCAAAAATACTTAAAATTAATTAAGTATAGTAAAATAATATTTTTGCATATAAAAAATTACAAAGTTTAAACATATAATTATCTCTTTAAAATGGTGAATGTAAATATTCCATAAGCATTTTCCAAACCTGCTGGCTTTTCCCATCTTGGTAGGGCACACCCCCTTTTCCAAAGAAAATTGTAATATATATATATATATATATATATATATATATATATATATTCTTTTGTTATAATAATTTGCCAAAAATTATATTTTTTAATGATTATTAAATTTGATTGAAGAATTTTTCTACATACTATATTACAACCCGCGTATTAAAATATTTTGTCTAATAAAAATAACTATTAAAGCGTAAAAATTAATTATATTTTTATCAAAACTATAATTTTTAACATCTATTATTTTTTAATTTTAGTGAATATTGACATTGATTAAAGAGTTCTAGATATTGAGTTATAATCTATTTATCAACATTTTATATGATTTAACGAAAAATTAAATTGGATAATTTTATTTTTCTTCAATTGTAAAATTTTTATATTCTGACAAAAATTGATCAAATTTTATTTACATCATTAACGTATGATTTTTGTTCTAACAAAAGAAACATAGCAAGATTTAATAATTAATATTATTGGAAAGAACTCACTTATGACAATAATAAAAGTTAATAGACTAAATTGAATAAAAAAAATTAGAGAGTAAATATATAATTAAATAAAGTTAAAAGAGAAAATAATCAATTTTATCAACATAGCATCCTTTTTTATGACTTTTATTTCAATTAAAAAGGTAAAATTAGTTACTTAATTATTTATTTTTTTATTTTAAATTCTTTCTTTATTTTTTTAGTTTAATTTAATTTTTTAACTTGTTTTTCTACATCAAGTTAGTTAGTTTTTTTTTCCTTATAAGATCGTTAAAACTTGGTAAAAACTATTTTTTACAATAATTTTCAAAATTGATTAAAAATTTTCTCTAAATTTTATTGTATGACCAATTCATGATCTTGAGTTGCACTGAACACTTTTCAAAAGTTAGAAAGAATTATTTAAACATAGGGAAATCCTGACAAATTCTAAGTCAAAGAATATTTTTATATAAAAATATTTTATAATATATCTCAATGTATAAGAAATATTACATATTGCGAATGAAAAAAACCATATTTACGTACTAAAATTTTCAGGGATAACCTTATCAAATTATAAAATTATTTGTATGAAATATTTATCATTAATTACACAATCAAGCCCTCAAACAAAAATTGATTGCAGGAAATCAAAAGAAAAAGTGATAAATTGGTATAGAAAATACAAATTACATTTATTTCTATTACATTTAAATTGATAGATTGGAATATATATATATATATATATATATATATATATATTATTGGTTGAAAGTTTATAAATTTTGAAGTGGACAACTTTGTATTAAAAAAATACATTTGCAAAAAAAAATAGTCTAAAAAAATATATTACAGAGTATAAATCATGAACCTCAAAATTAATTGGACATTAAACTAGTTAAAAATCAATTAAAAAAAATAATCAAGAATTGCCTGAATTGGGGTTAGCACCCAACACTGCCTAAAAAAATGAGACTATAATTTATTCAACTTAACTTGATTATTTTAAATTACATAACTTTCTATATTTATAGAAAAATATGATAAAAAATAAGTAATCATAATAATAAGAAATAAATCTTAGTAATAATACCAATCCAATAAATCCTAATATCATAATGAAATCTTCGTTGTAATAGGTGAAATAATTCCAATAATAATAAATTTACATAAATTAAAACACATTCTAAGAAAATTGAGACTTTAATGAAATCAATCTCAAATTCTAATTGAATTTGAAAATAATAAAGCTAAATAATGTATGCCCATATATGGTTTATCTCCTTAATTTAGCACTTATAAGCAAAATCTTCTTTAAGAACTTCAATTTTTAGCTCAAAATTTTTAGTTTGTTCATTATTTTTTTTAACCTTTTAATTTGTACTCTTATAATGTGATCACTTAAATTTTAAAATAAATCTTTTAAAGAACTTGAATTAATTATATCATAAAAACATAATACTGCAGCAATTAAAACTTTCTTTGTTTTTTTTTTACTACTTTAATACAATGGTACACTGCTTGTAATGTATTTACTTTATACTATTTTTTCACAATTGACTTCATTTGATTTGGAACGAAGTAACACCATTGAGAAATCTTCAAACAAATTGAACCAAGTGTTTGCAAAAATTTCGCATTTAGATTACTAGATATTCCAGACTTTTTAATTTTGAATTTCTATTGACTATATATAACATTATAAATTATATGTACTGTTTGCTTTTGGTACTGAAAACTTTGTCAAGCCAACAATTATATTTATTTAATAATTTTAATTACGTTTGTGAAATAATCATAACTAGATAAATTTTAAAAGCATGAGATGTCTTGAGACCTGCATGAGATCTATTTCTTAGTTACTTTATTCATATAGTTTTAGGATGAAATATTTTTATCACATACAACTTAGATTTGATAAATAAATTACAGAAACAAATATATACATAACAAATTTTATATTAAAATACATTGATTCTTAAATCATAAGATAATATATAAATAAAAACTGAGAGAAATGTATCATAATACCTAAAGTGAATAAACATACACAAATAAAAATTAAAAAATTATGAAAAAACAAAATAAAGTTTAAATTACATGAGTAAATATTTTCATTTTAGCTAGATGAAAATTTCACATAAAATATATAAATATCTTAATTATAATAATAAATACTTGTTTTTACATTCTTGAATATAAAACCTTACATAAATTTTTTTTAATATAATATGACAATAAATATTGAGATGACAATCAAATAAAAATAATGCATGAAATTATATTAACATACAAATGATAATATATATATATATATATATATATATATATAAATATATAACTAAGTATATAAATAATATATTTATGTTATGTAATATAGTCTACAGGTTATACTTAATACTATTTATTTGCTATTAGATAATAATTTCAAAAGCAATATTTAAACCATACATTATACAGACACATGCAATTTAATGACAAACATAATTTAATATTTTAAAACCAAGTAAATTATAAATAAACTTATAAAACCATAGGATGACATTTTAGAAAAAATTAATGCAGGGCTTTAAAATGAAGACATCTAGGATCATCAATTCATTTATATTCTAATATAAGAGTAGTATTATTTTTATTTTAAATTTAATTATTAAATAATATATATGCAAATAAGCATCAGAATGATTACTCAAGTTTTCTATCTTCTATAAAATTTTACATACACTATATGTAAACTCACCCATTTTAATATGTAATACCCGTGTTTATTGTGAGTACTTTATCATAAATTTAATTTCTCAAATATATAAAGTATGACCATAATAATTATAATGAATAATTAAAATTAAATTATAGAAAAACAAATATAGTGGCAAGAAACTTTGAGCAATTAATTTATTATTAAAATTTATAAGAGTAATGTGATGACAATTTAGATATTTAAACAATTAATTGAGGTTAAAAAATAAAAGGAGGAGGAGCTAACGTGGTGAAGCATTTACTCATTATTATCCAACATGTAATCTCACCCGGCATTAAGGGCGCACAACCTGGTGTGGATAGGATTAGTCCAAAAGGAGAAAGAAGGAAGAGAGGAGAAAAGAAAAGAAAATACATGTTTTCGTTTTGCAGAGAAGGAGGCATCAACCAGTAGCTACTGTTCCTCTAAGCTCGACTACTACGACACTGGTGTTATCTCTGCTTCCCTTTGCCAATGCTATATCAGCCAAGAGTCTTGCAGCCTCAGCTGCACGGCTTTGATGATTCCCAATCCCATTGCACACTCTCCTTATCTGCCCCTTGAGGCATTTCCTCACAACTTGGCATGCAACTTCGCTTGAGATCACATCCCACAACCCATCACTTGCTAGTATCAGAAACTCATCCTGCTTGCTACGTTTGGTCACCATCACTTCTGGCTTCGATATTACATATGGCCGAAGGTACTGATCTCCTGCGTCCAAAATACAAAGAAAATTGGTTCACACCCACTGCACAAACAGATCAATCATGTTCTAGCAGAACAACCAAACATACAAATTGCTGAATAATGAATCTGAGCGACATTAATTAATGGATTTGAAACAATATTCAAATGAAGTTAAGTCTTACGAAATATATGATGGTTTCACAAATCACATGCAAATCCACTATTACCATTTATTAAAAATAATTAAATTATTAAAAATAAATAAATCACTGGTTTAATTAAGTTCTACGCCAGGTTTGACTGTTTAGGCATGTGCGGATTAGAGTGAAGATATTCCATGCAATTTGATAGATAAGGAATTACGGATTCCGTAATCTTGAGATCTATATCCATTCCATAATATTGTCTGCACTTAGCATTGGAAAGCTCCACGTGTTACGATTAGATAACGCACTTGGAAGATTGGGGACAATTGTCCAGAGTATTTAAATAATTGAATTTCTGTCCTATCTTCAAGTTTAAGACTTCAGCCAACGAGAAATTCTACTAATAATTTTTCAATTAAAAACAGTTGAGATATGCATAACAACAACTGAGGCCACCTTGTTTTATATACAAGAATCATTCTACTATATTCCTTTTTCGTAGGATGATCTGAGCTATAGGGTGTTATCTCGATTGGTTAGAGACTTCGAAGGCAATAATTGTAGATAATCAAATTTAAAGTCAGAGATTGCCGGTAACAATAATACTCAGGTTTCTTTTTGTCAAAGTTGCTCTGCTACTTTAAGAACCACGAGGGAGCTGAGATTCTTCTGCTTTTGCAGACTGAGAAGGTAGAAACATCATGTTAAAAAACGCCAAAGGTAGAGGGATACACATATAACACAGGCAGTGCAAATGTCATCAAGGGGCATAATTAACAAATGAGGTGATCAATTAATATTAGTAATCTGCATATATGTAGGCCTTAAAAGGTTCAAACTAACCTATGGATCGCGAAGTGGCAAGAACACCAAACACGCGCTGGCCATTCCAGTTTATGACCCTTCCACCAGCCTCTTCAATTCGCATCAACTCATCAGGCCTGTCGGGCTGCGCACAGAGAAGGGAACCACCATGCCATTATCTTATCTTATATAATAAATTGCTTTGCCATGTAAAATTGTCAGACATATTAATGAATTATATAAAGTAAATGTAAACTTTCTTCTTTAGAGTTAAATTTAAATAATTTATAATAATAATAATGGTTTATTAAAACAACATTTATTATACTTTTTATTATAATGGATATTTTTAAATAAAAAATTATTACTTTCAATGGCTTAAATTGAGGAACATGGCAAAAACCTTAAATAAAAGCTTTGATGCACCCTGATACAATAAAGATCTCAGATTTCCTATTAATAATCGACTCCCCCGTATGACAAAAAGGCAACTCTTCGTTTACATTCGTAAATGGTCGCTACACAGTCACACTCAAGAGCAACAATTTTGGCCTATCTAAATATTCATCATCAAAGAAAAGCATTGACTTGGATGTTCACATATACGGATATTTTAAACATAATGTCAAAATTGTCAATCAAAATGGTGGTGTGCCAGCTTTTGGCAGATTAAGGAGTCATAGCAATAACATAGAAATAATAAAAAATGGAAATGGAAGCAAAATTGATGCACATATAATCATCAATATTCAATACTAAAAAGAGCCGTATAGGGATAAAAAAATTAAAATAGAACTCTGAGTAACCAATTCAAATCTGTTGCACACGTTCGTAAGGATTTTGTTTTTTGTTTTTTGTTTTTTTCTCTTTTCAGTATCCCATGCCTCAGTTAACTTTTATTTGAAGGAAAAACCATACACTAAATAATTAAGAATATGAAAACAAATATACCTTATGATCACGAGATAAGTTCACGGCTTCCCCTCCTCTTCCCATCACGGCTCTACAATCGCCGCAATTGGCGACGACAATATCCACCGCTGCTACAACGGCCACAACCGCCGTGGAACCCACCGTCCTGACTGCCGCATTATCGGCCACCTCACTATCCATTTTTCGAAAACACCCTTCCATCACTCTCTCCCAGTCCCATTCCACACTCCTCTCGACCTCCTCCGCCACCAGCCGGTGTAACCGTTCCCGGCACGCCTCCGCCACCTGAGCTCCGCCGTGACCGTCGTACACTGCGAAGAAGTCACACTTCTCTCTCTCCTTCGTCACAAACCCTATCTCCACGCTCACCGCGTCCTCCATCTCCTTCCTGTTCCCTATCACCGACACCGACCCGTACGACAAAACGTCGTCGTTTCGTTTCAACGGCCACCGGTCCTCCTCCTCCGATGACGACGACGCCAGCGAAAGAGATATTTCCACATGCTTGTGAATCTCCCTTCTCTCTCCCTCCGAATCGACGACTTTCGCCTCCTCCGGGGAAACGCCGGTGGCGCCATTCCCGACGCGTATCTTCGCCTGGCAAGTGTACTTCATTCGCCGGATTTTGAGCCTTCTCCGGTTAGTATTCTCCAACCTGGCGAGCATCTGGCCGGAATCAAGGTCCACTCGCCGGAAAGATTTAACGGGCGGCGAGTGGCGTTTTGGGTTCTTCATCGTCGTTTTTGCATGTAACGAACAAAACAGAACACGAAACTCAATGCACAAAAGAAATTAAAAAAAGAACGCGAATAAAGAAAAACGGCATGTAGTGAGGGAGGAGCGAATTTAAAGTGTTTGATTGCGAGATCTGAGAGACGTTGAATCGGGAGCGTTGATTTGAAAGGAAGTGTATGATGAGGGTAACAGGTGGATATTTAAGGAGCAGTGAGTTGGATTGTAGCGAAGGAGACGTGGACGGGTGAGATTGAAGGGTGGGTACGTGGAACGTTGATGCTGGGGGGAAGTGATACGGTTGTGTAAAAGATGTAGTAAGAGTGGGGCCAGTTGGTGAAAGGAGATGATAGAAAGAGAGAGGGAAGGGTCAGAGTCATAGGTTAGTTTACGTGGCATGACAGAGGTTGCTTTCCGTAAATTTTGCTTTTGTTGAGTTTCGCGAGGTTGAAGGACACGTGTTGACTATAGGTGGGTTGCGTCTTCGATTTGAGCCACAGATGCCTTTGCATCCTTCCCAACTACTGCACAGTACACAGAGACATACGCACGCACTCTCTTCCTCTCTTTCCTCATATTATTTCGTGTGGCCTCACCAATGCTAATTATGAATATGCACCTTGTTTTCTTCCCAATAATATCGTGAAAATTACGTGTTTCAAATTTTTGTTTTTATGTTATTTTAGTTTCGTATTTTATTCCTTCAATCTTATTTGTTGGTTTTTAATGCTTGTTTTGATGGTTTTTTGCATTTTTAAATTTGAAAATAGAAAAGAGGACATTCTGTGGGTGAATTATTACGGTCGTATACTTGTGGCCCGAAGTTGTAGGAAAAATATCTTCGGGCCAGCTGCGGTTTTCTCCTTCCCGCGCCGAGTTTCCATCGAAAAGACACACGGAACTGGCAATCAGTGACCTCTTTCATTTCTTTCGATAGACACGTGTGACTAAATTTCGTATTCTGTGGCAACTTACAATGTTTATTTTTGTAGTATTTTTTTATTAACTTCAGTTTTTGTTATTAAATTTAACTATTTAAAAATCATAAAATTTTATTAATAAATATATATTTATTATTTTAAAATTATAAAATTGTAACAAATATCTTTAGCAATTAATTATTTTTTTTATTTTTAAAATTTTAATATATTACATTAAATTATATTTTTAAATTTATTTTAATAAATTTTATAATTAAATTTATGTCATAAATTTTTATAAAATGAAAGTTGTTGAATACATATTTATTTGTTTTTCTACGAAGTAGCTTTTAAGTTATGACCAATTTTATAATATGATACTAAAATTTTTTAATTTTCATGTTAGGCTATTCCTACAAACTTAATGCAATAGATGACTAATTTTTGTTAAGTAAGGCCTTACAAACTTTAAACAGTAGATGTCTAATTTTTGTTGTAAAAGAGATGTTAAGATGTTTTAGATTAATTAAGAATATGACAATAATATTTGTTCCAAGAGAAAAAAAAAATTATGAGCTAATTTTTGAGATAATAAAATTTAATTTTTTAATTTATTTAAAGAGACGTTATTTAAGAAAATATAATATCTTAAAGCTAGTAAGTGACTAATGATCAAATCTCACATATCCTGAATACGAGATATCAAGTTTTCACATGGATGCACATTAAAGAAAATAATGCATTAGACTAATCTACCATAAGAACGTTACATGGATCATTACATGAAAGTCATAAACGATTCTTCATATAATAAGAATATATGTAGTTTATCGATTTGAAGTCATTACAATTTTTACATGTTCAATATTGTACTTTAATGTCGTCAAACATTGCTTGTAACAAGGTCATAAAGGCAATAAATAGGTATAATAGAAATCATGCAGAATGATGTAAGTGATGTAGAGGAATTTGTCCCTATGATGTAACAGAAATAATATTTGTAGCCATTTGATAGAGTAAGATTTTAGAATTCATGGCCATGTTTGAAAAGGATGAATATGATGATATATTTATTTCTAGAAAAACCTGCTCAAGTATATCAAGAAACATGAATAGAACTATACAACGATGACTTGTCCATGCCTTGTGATTAATTTATATATACGGACAAAGGAACCAACTATAGAAATAATTATTACATAATAGGTTATATCAATTTAAGGATAATTTTGTTATTTGAGTTGTATTGATGTGTTAGATGTCGCTTAGTATTTGTAATATTAAATATAAATGGTTAAATTTAATGTTATAACTAAATATAATAAATACTTACCAGGTCACACATATAGAACAAACTCACTAGAAAAAGTAATATTTTAGTTTAAGTGAAATATTACTTTATTAGATCAGGCTCATTAAGAATAAGCCTAGCCATAATAGGTAAGAGAGAATTGGGAATAGCCACTCCCATGTGCTTATAAATAAAGCATGAGATGTTTACATTTAAGACACCTCTCTCTCTCCCTTTCTCCCATAGGCTACTAGCATAAGCAACGAAGGAGGATTCTAGTACAATTGTTTGTGTGGACTTCCAAAGAGATGTGACTATCTTTACCATGTTTGTGCTCACATAAAAGGTAATCCTTATTCCTATTTTGTATGTTTTATACTTTAATACATGTATATCATAAGAGCAATTGAGAATCATTTAATGTTTCGTGGCACTATCTATGTTTGATTTTCAACTATGGTATTAGAGGTAACTTATGAAGATATGTTTTGAGCATTAAGTTTGTTACTATAAGAATTATGTGTTTTGGCTTTGTATGCTATTTTGTTTATTATATTCAAAATAATTTATGATTAATCATTTTGTGAAAACCTTATTGCCTTTTCTATTTTGAATGATGATTTCTATAGTGATAGTGATTTTATGTTTACATAAACAAACATGTTTAATATTAATTTATGTGCGTTTTGTTCATAAGCATGCTAATTACTATATTATATTTATTATTATAGTAATTATGTTTACGATCTTTCATATATGATCATGTTTAGTATGTATGGCATCATATCTACTCCTAATATATATGAACATGGATATTTGTTGCTATATGTTTTTCTATTTAGAACATGCCTATGCAGTGATTGATTTCTATATATGATCTTTACCTATTCAACAAAATTTTAAATATCATATGTTTGTATATTGAATTGTATAATTATTGACATAAATGTGAACGTATATTGTGAAGCGAAAATGAGAATCTCACACAATATGAAGTGTTTTTACTTAGGGCATTAATTAAGAGTTTGAGTTGAAACCCTAGCTATCATCCTTATATAATGAAATGTTTACAACTTCAATACTAGGGTTCAAATTGTTTGACACCCTAACTGTTAAGGAAAGCAAGATAAAATATGTTTATTTGATTGTAACTTGCTATATCAAGAAGGTTCTGGCTAAGGAAAGACTTGATATTTAAGCATGCTCATTGTAACGCACCTCTTTTTCTTAGAAACCTAGTTTATGACTTTATCAAATTTTAGAATAGGAAGCTGCTTGCACCTTGAAGGGGGGCTCCCTTTGAACTTCACATGTTATGCCTTATCTTTTATGTTTCTCTAAATTCTTTCTCATTTTTCTCCCCTCGTATGTAAATCAATGTTTCTTATTCTATATTATGTAATACATGAAAAAAAGGAAGTAACGATATTTTAGAAGATTTTTAGATGATAGAGGAAAGAGAAGACACTTTATATCACATTTATGTCACACTATATAATAGGACGTGTGAACCAAAAACCTATTAATAAATAAGAACACATTCCAACCAATTCCCAAAAAATATAAATTTGTATCAAATTCGAACAAACTTGATAATTATAATAACAATTGTCTCAAAAGCAAATATTTAGTTATTAAGCCTTCTAATAAATAAGTAATTAATAAGGCTAATATCAATTAAGTGTAGATATGTGAAAGTATAGTACTTTTATTTGTACTAGTGAAGTGCAATAAGATAATTGTAATATTCAATTGTCATTAATTGGGTTATAACTTAACTAGGTTATATTTATAGTATTGAAAACTTAGAGGCATTAAGTTGGTCATTAATTTATAAGATGAATTAGAATAAGTGTTATTCACTCAACTATCTCAAGTTGTATAAGACATAATTAAAAATAATTTTCTACCTAAATAACCTAATATTAAGATCTGCCAAAGCGAACATAAGACTAAGTAACATTTTGATCTTAACCCACTAGAAAATCTAGCAATGATATTTTTCTAATTCAACGAGGGTGGTTGGTTTGAATAAAAATAGTGAGAACATATTTTATGAAAGACCTAATTAAATGTGTTTTGTAAGACTTGATACTTATAAAATTATTTTATGTTGATATATTACTATGTCAACAAACATAACAGATAACATTTCATTATGATCTATTTTTGACAAAGATAAATTGTTTGAAACAAACTTCCTAAACTAGTACCAAAACTTGAAGATTATTTTCAAATATGAAAAGAAGTTATATGTTCTAGAAGAACTTCTTCCTAAACCACTTGTTGCTAGTGCCTCAAAAATTGACAATGATGCTTATAAGAAAAATCAGAATGATGCTATAGATATTGGTTGCCTTGTGCTTATTCTCAAATATGAAAAGAAATCATATGTCTTAAAAGAACTTCTTCTTAAACCACTTGTTGCTAATGCTTCAAAAATTGACGAGGATGCTTATAAGAAACATTAGAATGATGCTATAGATGTTGGTTGCCTTATGCTAGCCACCATGAACTCTGAAATCCAAAAGTAACATAAGAACATGGAGGTGTACAATATGATAGTACATTTGAAAAGACTCTATCAAGGCCAAACTAGGCAAAAAAAAAAATGAGATCCTTAAGGCACTTTATTAATGTAGACTAGTAGAGGAAAATTTTATAGTTGTTCATATACTTAAGACAACTAGGTATGTTAAGAACTTAGAGAGACTTGGGTTTCCACTAGGCCAAAAGTTGACTACTAATTTTGTCCAACTATCATTGTTAAGCGGTTTTAAGTAGTTCATCATGAACTATAAAATGAGCGAATTGGAGAAAATACTATCAAAATTGCTCTTGAGAATTGTTATACATAACAGTAAGACTATAGTGATGGTCTAATTGGCAAGAGGCAAGGGGAAGATGC